AGGCCCCCATAAGTTTTCTGTCAGAACACTCCAGAGATGACTATCCCCACCATTTCCATCCTGCCTGCAATCTCCAACTCCACAGAAGTTGCAGGCAAGGAGGATGAGCCTGCATCCGGATGGGCTACTCTCTTGTGTCTGGGCCGTCCATCCACAAATGCCTTTGGGGTCATCTACCCAAACTTTCAAGGCCAAGTCGCTCCACTACAGAATAGGTTCTCTCCATCTTTGCAGCATACCCTAGGACTGGACTTAAACTTAGTGGGAGCGTAAGAAGAAAAAATCTGAGGGCATATCGGTGGCACAGATGATATTTTGTAAATAAAATCTCACATGTGTAAATGTATGCAGTTTCAATCCTCACCTGTATGTTGGACTGTCTTTAATTTGTGGGACTATAACTATGTTATGTCAGAGATAAGAGCCTCTTCATTCATCCCAAGGAGGAAAGAAGTTGTACTGACAAGGCATTTCCTGTTTTTGAAAAAAATCCTAGAAACTTATAGATTTCACACATCTTTCAACCCTTGTGTTCATGACTGCAGATAAGATTTTCTGCTTTGGTGAGGCAGTTACTGTTTGCAAAGTTAATAGAAGCATACTAAATCATTTTTTCCACTCATGTTCCACACATATGACTGTATTGTGTGAGTAAATGTTAATTTGTGACTGCACAATTATCTGGGGGCAAAGGTTCATTCTATTGATGTGTTTTGTAAGCAACTGTACATTCGTTTCTGAATGAGCAATGTCCAATACCCACTAATATCCAAACTTTGATTCGAAGGAAATTGTTCTGCTTTGAAGAGTTTTTAAGTGCTGACTGCAGAAATTTAGATGTTGTCTTGAAACCGACTAAAGCATTGCATGCGCATTTCACAGTGTATGTTGACAGGTGGCTGAGAAGTCAGGATGCCTCTCAGACAGACAATGACCACAACCAGAACTTGTGCTCTCAGAAACCTCAACATTAAGGAAGTCTTAAAAGCTACCTTTACTAAGTACCATACAATGTTAGAACATTGTAAGATTGAATGCCAGTCTTTCCCTAACGTCCATCAGAGCAGACAATGTTGTCATTCTTGACTGTGGGAGCAGCTGATGTTACAAAGCATTCAGACAGTTGAATACATCAACTTTTATTGTACAACAGGAAAAGGGAGAAGAAAAGGAAATAACAATGAACCTGCATTTACTTTTGCAAATAAACAGTGGTTCCTTGCCTCCACAACAAGAAGTCTACACTCAATAGATCATGTGTTCATCCAACTCCAATCTCTTGAAAGCAGTCATACAAAGCACAGCATGCCAGCAGTATGCAGCATAGTGTATCTGGAGTTTATTGCTCCTCTAGCTCAATCCAAGCATCAGAATCTTATTTTGAGGAGCCTTATCATCTGTTCCACGATGGCCCCATCCAGAAGAAAAAATCAAGTAAACTGGTGAATGACACATATTGGTCTGATTCATCTTGTATATGCCAAAATGGAGGTCCAGTATGACCAGTAATTTCACTTCCAAATATTCCACACTAGTCCTAAGTGGATTCTTGGAATGAGCCTATTGCATAAACATTAAGCGCTGTTGTCATCTCGATGGCCCCTGGATGCCACTCACTGCTTTAGAGCACAAATCCTGCTCCAACACATGACACAGTTCCATTATGGTGTCCTGGGACATTCTAAGTCTGCAGCTGCTTCCATAATCTGGTGGAAATGACAGCGAAGTTAGTCTTAGCCTTCTAACCTCCTTTGCATCCTGCTTCTTCATGTGAAGGGGCTGTATGTATACGTGTGTGGATGGGGAATTGGGGAAAAGAGATGGTGCAAGATAGTAGTACATAATACTTCTTCCACAATTATTGTATCCTAATGTGTACGTGTGATGAGGTTTGTGTTGCAGACATCTGTATAATATGTAATATCTCCATCTGGGGCATTTTACTGTCCTTCTTTTGAGGCACGATTAAAATATGAAACCTCCTACATTTACAGAGCAATAAGATTGATAAAACTACAATCAATGTTGCTTGTGCTGCTTTTATTTACCACCCTATGGATCAATGTGTTAGTAGATCTAACTGCATGATTACACCAAAATATTGGATGCAGACTATAGTGTGTTTGAAATCACAATTGTTCCAGAATTACAAAAGAATTTGGTCACAGGCAACATAATGTCATGTAATTTGTCTTGTCTTTTCATGCAATTACACTAACATGTAGGTGAGGATGTCCTATTCAAATATTTTCTTAGTGATTGTTCCGTGTATTCTTGATTTGCTGATGATATTCCGTTTAGTTTGTTCGTGACAAGAGTTAGATTTACTCTTTTTAATTTCTTGCACAAGTGATGCATGTAAAGTCTGTTCCCCATAGCCAACTGTTGCCAAATTTTCTGTCATTCGCTTAAGATCATTGTCTGCACATAAAGGCAGTAGCTTCGACCCTTATTGTCCCCTACTAAAAACTTGATTTTTTGTCACCAGCCAACTTCCCATTTAGTAGTATCAATACCCATCTCAAATTTATTATGGGGATTACTACAAAGTTATGCATGTAACAATCCAACAAAAATTGCCATCCTGTCAAAGCAGATGATGTGTTATTAGAATATGATATTAGGTTAAACTTTTTCTAAAAAAAAAAAATCATGCAAAGAAAGATAATCTTTCACTAATGCATATCCTCAGTTCAGTGACTTTCTCAAATTGGCTTTTTTTTTGGGGGGGGGGGGGGTGGGCAGGGGGCAGGGAAAGAAAATTGATGCATCAAAATTCAATTAACTAAAATGCAACCGTCTGAAAATGGCCACTGCAGGGAATTTTGATGTTCCTACCCCAAGCCTGGATGTTACACTATAAATAAGTGTAAGTGTCATGAATTTTTATGCTGGACCCTTACACATGGGCTGAAAATGCAAATTGCCCAACTTCCTCTTACTCTGTTGTCAATAGGGACAACTACCTATTTGGCCCTAATTAAAGCATGAAAACTTTAGTGTGGTTGGCAGTGATTTACTTGTTCAGTTGGCAGATGTCAAAGATCCAGGTTGGGCCTGAAATACAGCTTGTACTGTTGATGCAGTTGCACATCTGTGACAATGAAAACATTATTTTTATCAGTGTATATATTAAACCGTTAAATTCTGACAATCTTGGATTCATTTGCTTTAAGTCATGATATTGAAGATAACTAGGGATTATCTTAATTTTAGTGTTTTTTAAAAAAAAAAATACCCAAACCAAAAGGCATACAGAAGAGCTAAGAAATATTTAATATTAGAGATTTAAGAGAGACATATCTGGTGAAGTTGAAACAATCGATGAAGTCAGTTTGGTGGGGGGCGGGGAAGGAGGGTAGGGATTAGGAAACCTCCTCCCATTTCAGTAATTGGTTCTAAATGCTGTGTGACTCAAAGCTGAAATCCTACATTTCAGACTTATAGCATAATCATTGCGCATACTTTAAAATTATTATGGATTGCAGGGTTTCAATTTAAAATCTTTAATTTTATGCTGGTATGTTTGTACTCAAAAGTTTCACATAACCTATAACTCATTTGGTCCAGAATCTGTATTTCATATTTAGCAAAGGAACAAATCAAGTCATCCACTTCATTGCATATACAGTTGCCTCTTGTGTCCAATCCAATTTTCCCCCACCCCCTCCAATTCTTTGTCTTCCTTTGTTAGAGTTATATTGCACTCTGAACTCAAAAACATGAACAGTGATGTGATATTAACAAATTGCCAAAGAGCATGAAAAGTTAGACTTCAAAGAAAGATACTAGAGCTTATAAACTTGTCCACATCCTATGGGCGCAACAAGTGCCTCACTTAAGTTCATAGTTTGAAGATTAGATGGAGTTTATGCATAGTCAGGTCAGCAATGAGGATGAGGTTTATCAAAAGTAGTTCAAAAACTTGATAAGTGTGTATGCAGTAACAGGAAGGAACTTTAAATGCAGTAAACCCAAGAGAAGCTTTAACCAATAAAAAAAATGATTCTTTTTTTAAAAAAAATCTACAAAATTAAAAAAAAAGCAAAACACTCCATTTCAGCTTGAGGAAAGTTATGCAACTACTCTTCAATTAAAGTTGATGTCCATGCCATTGCTGGACAGCTGCTATATGAAAGTTTAGGCCATGGACAGCAAAATGTTACTAATATCCTGCGAGGGTATAATTACTTAGCAAAGTATCAAGGCTGTTGCCATCAGTTTACACAACTTCAGTGGTGTGGGGGGTGTGGGGGGTGGGGGGGGGGGGGGGGGGAGGAGGGAGAGAAGAGAGAGAGAGGGAGCGCGAGCGCCATGTACTTCAGGCTTACCACTATTTGAACTGATCCGGTTATCCAAGGTTACATACCATAAACAGATTTCATGTTCCAGCCTTTCCTCCCCCACCCCAGATTCTACAATGGGTAAATTTTTGTTAGAGAAAAAAGTGTTACCATTTTAAATCCAAAGACAGCATCGTTGATTAATCTCTGTAGAAGCAGAGAATGAGTTGAGCTTTGTCCCTTCTGGTGACAAGCATTTTTCTCAATTCTGAACTGTTAGGAGGTGCACTCTTACAGAAGGCAAAAGTCATATCTATAAAAGACAGCCTAGCTGTATTTTTTAAACCAGGAGGTTTTCTTGTGCTGTCTGTCAGTAGTTATCCTGTAACCCATATGATATTTAAAAGTTAGACTTCAGTGTTATTGTTGGACTGGATTGTGTGCACATTTAATGTGCAGTCAGTAGTTGAATCAGCTGAGAAACACTTTTAAAAGTCCTGCACTCCTGAAAAGGCAGTATGCAAAACAGATTTTCTTTGCTGTTCTTTCCCATGATGTGAAATTAGTCCTTGCAGTTTCAATTTAAGAGTATTTATAGACTCTTTCCCAGAAAGAAAAAAAATTACAATGTGAAATGCTGAATATTTGATGCTACAGTTTAGCAACTGAAATGTAGTGTCCTCGTGCCTTTAAAAATTACACAAGACAGGCAAAAAATTCAACCAAATCTACATTTATTGAAGGTCAACAGTATATATGAATGACAAAGACAAAGACATCAAGAATTCTTAAGTGTATTTAACTCCAGCTTTAGTGATTATTTTAAAAAAATATAAGAGTTAATTTAGTTCATTTTCTTCCTTCTCACAAAAGTCATGCATTCCAGGAACAGGATGTTTTAAAGTTAATAAGTTGTTGACAGAAAAAAAATCTTGTCAAGTGCACATATATAATAAAGCTTTTGCAGCTGCAGTGAGTAAAAATAAAAATTAAACTGCTGGCAGAAATCAGTAATATTATCTCTCAAGTGCCAATCTTGTGCAAACTTTTTCAGACTGTAGTCATATCCAAGCTTTGGGCATTAGATTGTTTATGGCTCTTGATTTTGAAATTTTGGCATCATGGAGAAGCTTCCAACAATCTAGGCTGGATTCAAGCTTAGTCTCAAAATGCAAGTAAAGTAATCATCAGCATTGTGGTGCTGAATTTAAAAGCTGAGGCTTACAATCTAAGTCCTAGCATGTGACAAGGTGCATTTCTTTTCGCCCAGTTACATCCTACTCAATCAATGAGTTCCTCTTTCCTTAACAAAGAGGAATTACTCTGAAGCAAGTGCATGTCAATATTCCAGAAAATAAAACAAAAACACATTCTCTTTATTTGGAAAGCCATATAGAAATCTGCTTCAAATGATGACTAGTCAAATTTTAAGTTAGAACTCTTTCTCCCTCTTCCCCCAAAATGTTCAAAATGGGTTGAAGTTTCCTAATTGCACTAATCATGCTAGTGGAGTTGCTGGCTTCTAATGTAAAGTGCGACAATGTTTAATTAAAGTTGGTTACTTATGCAGTCCATCCTGTGAACAGACTGGCTGAAATCTAACAAGTGTAAAGCAGATACAAAAGGAGGTCCATTCTACCTTTTTTAAAAAAAAATTCATAATTCAGTTTAGATCCTGTCTGCTTTTAGACTTGACAAAATAATGCGAAGGTTACTTGAAGAACTCATTGATGTAGGGATAAGACCATTGTTGATGAGTCACTAATTCCATACAGAATAGTAACACTATACAGATCTCAGCTGGCTTCAACTGCATCCAAAAAGCTTCAGCTATTCATCATTTAGTTTTCAGTCAGAAGTGGCTTTAAAAAAAGGAAGAAAAATCAGTTAGGAAGCATTTGATAGCTATGTAGAGATGCATTTGCCAACTGACATACAGTAGTTATTGTAGATAACAAGGTGGTGATTTATTAACTTGGCTGCTGCAAGGGAAGTAATAAATGTGAACATAAGACAGTGTTCAACCCAAAAATCAAAATTTGTTCTTAATCTTCCTAAACCCAAATAAATATCCTAACATTAAAGCAAAAGCAAAAATTGCTTATTAGAGACTGGAGAAACGCAACAAATCTGGCTGTCAGAATTGATGTTTCACATTCAGTATAATGCTGATCGATCTATTCCAAAGGCAAAACATACAATGACAAAACTAAGTCCTATTGAATTTGAAACAAAGTCAGTTTCTCACTAGTTACTGCCAGACTTGCTGTATTTCTCCAGAAATTTAAGATCTCCAGCATCTGCAATGATTTTGCTTTCATAGTACACTGTAGAAACTATCCTCAACATCAAGAATAGCCAGAAATTATTCAAGTCAGAACAAAAAAGAATTTACCTGGCATCTGTGTTTTGGATGCCAGCTTGTACTGGAATATTGTTCCACAGAAGGTGGCAGACTTTGAAATTGACCTGATTAGTCACTCAAGACCATTATGAATACTGGCTGATGTCTTCATCCAATACAATCATTGCTTCAGCCAATACATGAAAACCTACCATTTGATGGAAATTGCTGATTGAAAACAAAGCAAAAATTGATCAGACTTGGCACCTTCTGGTCAAGAGTACTGCAGGATGGTATAGGGAATGTTCCCCACAAAACACATCAGGTAGATATTTGTTAGTTATCAAGAAAAGTTGGCCAAATAAGAATCTACCAGATTTAAATATTGAAGTAAGTTTTTGGCTTAAAACGTACTGATGCAAAATCATTCCCCCCCCCACCCCCCCCGACATTTGGATCTGAGATTTTGTGTGAACTTCAAGAAAGAAAAACTAACGCAGCTACAAATTTAGCAGCACTGAAAACTGGTGGGGTCAAAAAGATGGGAGGGGGTGGGTACAGAAGTGAAATTTCCTCAAAATGCAAAGAAAATCCAAGGGTCAGCTGTATTACACAGATTTATCTGAAAAAAGTATTTTTGCTTGCGATGTAATTCTGTTTAAAAAATTTCACACCCTTAAAAAGGAAGTTAGATTAGGATATAGGAACATTGCTGAATTCAAATATTTCTTCTTGTCACCACTTAGAGTATGACAAACAGTCACTGCAAAACAAAATGTGGCAAAAACCATGACTGAAATACACAGAATGTGTTTACACGACATACCTCTGTTGCATCGCTGATTACAGTTTCACATGCATTTGGACGCTGCCATTTGTGCTTAAGGAGCATCCAGGCTATTGTAAGTGAGAAACACAACAGCATCATTCCCAAAACATTGGCCAGACATGCCTCAGGTGGAAGATTCTTGTAGGGACCAGTTGAGTTTGGAACATTGCTAAAGGGAAAACAGTAGCATTATACACAGATGACAAAGGTGTAGAGTTGGATGAACACAGCAGGCCAAGCAGCAGAGGAGCAGGAAAGCTGACATTTTGGGCCTAGACCCTTCTTCAGAAATGGGGGAGGGGAAGGGGATTCTGAAATAAATAGGGAGAGAGGGGAAGGCGGATAGAAGATGGATAAGATAGGTGGAGAGGAGACAGACAGGTCAAAGAGGCAGGGGTGGAGCCAGGAAAGGGGAGTTAGGGAGGGGATAGGTCAGTCCAGGGAGGACAGACAGGTCAAGGAGGCGGGATGAGGCTAGTAGGGAGGAGATGGGGTGGGGCTTGAGGTGGGAGGAGTGGCTAGGTGGGAGGACAGGTTAGGGAGGCAGGTATGTGCTGGGCTGGTTTTGGGATGAGGTCAGGGGAGATTTTGAAGCTTGTGAAGTCCACATTGATACCATTGGGCTGCAGCGTTCCCAAGCGGAATATGAGATGCTGTTCCTGCAACCTTCACCTTCCCCCTCACCCCCATCCCAGGCCCAAAGAAGACCTTCCACAAACAGATGTTCACCTGCACATCTGCTAATGTGGTATACTATATCCACTGTTCCCGTTGTAGCCTTCTCTACTTTGGGGAAACCAAATGGAGGTTTGAGGACCGCTTTGTGGAACACCTATGATCAGTTTGCACTAAACAACATCCTGGGCCTCCTGCAATGCCACAACGATGCCACCCGAAGGTTGCAGGAACAGCACCTCATATTCCACTTGGGAACCCTGCAGCCCAATGGTATCAATGTGGACTTCACAAGCTTCAAAATCTCCCCTCCCCCAACCGCATCTCAAAACCAGCCCAGCTCGTATCTGCCTCCCTAACCTATCCTCCCACCTCAAGCCCCACCCCCATCTCCTCCCTACTAGCCTCATCTCGCCTCCTTGACCTGTCCGTCCTCCCTGGTGCGACCTATCCCCTCCCTAAACACACCTTTACTGGCTCCACCCCTCCCTCTTTGACCTGTCTGTCTCCTCTCCACCTATCTTCTCCTTTATCCATCTTCTATCCGCCTCCCCGTCTCTCCCTATTTATTTCAGAACACCCTTCCCCTCCCTCATATCTGAAGGAGGGTCTAGGCCTGAAATGTCAGCTTTCCTGCTCGGCCTGCTGTGTTCATCCAGCTCGACGCCTGGTTATCTCAGACTCTCCAGCATCGGCAGTTCCTACTATCTCTGTAACAGCATTATATACATACTAATTTCAGTGTAAAAAGTATGCATTTGAACACAGTTTAACAGCAGATCAAAAGTTCTCCCCTACCACAAAGGAATTGGTCCTCAACCCATAATTCAGAGCAGGGAAGTGAATAAACAAGAGATTGAAATGATAGGAGTTTGAAGAATTGGATATGCCAGTTTGTGGCTCATCAAAGACTGCACACTGTTCACCATCAGCTTCAGTTAGACTAAATGCTTTGTTAGGCTCCATCAAACTTTTGCAGACTTGAGTGTTTCTGCTAGAGCCATGTCAATAGCATACATTCAAATTTTTGTGCCTTAAAAATGTACTAAGGAGTGCTTTATAATTTGAGCATAAAGCCAGAGATTCGGATAGGTGATCTTAAATTTGGTCAGAAGGAGATCTGTTTTTCAAAAAAAAAAAAAAAAGTCCCTTAAAAGAAAGTACAGAAAGGCTTACAATCAAGGCAGCTGGTGTTATAACAGCCAGTAACAAGGCAAGTAAATTCCAACCATATCCAAAGACTAAGCTTATATTTATTTTGGGAAAAGATATGTCAGAGAGGTATAAATTTATATTCCCTCACATTCCACCTACCTCACTTATTCTTGTTGGTTGGAACTCAGTTATTTTTTCCAAAAAGCTACCACTCTTTTCCTCAGGCAACCTTAAATTTGCATTTGAGCTGTCTAGCAGTAGCCATCTAAATGCAAAGTCTGCTTAGAAATGTTAAGCTTTGACTCTGCAGGATATCAAAGCCAAAACCCAGTTTAAAAAACAGGTACTTCTGACAGTGGTTATTGAGCAGTGATCAAAATTTGGAAGCTTGGATGAATTCACCCCAATCTTCTGGGTAGTCCTAAATTAATGTACTTTAGATACTCATTTTTAGCATCTCTTCAGATCCTGAAAAATGTCAGTTTCCAGAAGATTACCGTAAATCAAGAAGAAGAAAAAAAGGTTCTTATAACCATGATTAAACAATGGCTTCAAAAACCAGGAGAGGACTTCTGTTCTTTCAAGCCTTATAAACTTACAGCACAAATATCAACTTTTCATTAATTCCTGACACAGAAGCAGCAATGGCCATTACTAAGATACCAAGTCCAAAGAAGACATGCAGATCTTTGTAAGCAGCTCGAAGCCAGAGGGGTGTGCAGGGGAGTAAAAAGGCCAGGAATCCCAGCAACCACTGTAGATCAAAGAAGAACAAATTAGAATGCCACAAAATTAAAATTAGCAGGAACAATCAACATACATGTGTTTGACCAGCCTTTCGCAAAGAGTTGAGAAGGTCACAATGAACTTCATTAGGTAATGCAGTTGAAGAATCATGCTGGCTAGACAAGACACTGTTCTGCAAATGCCAACAAAATCTTGCAATGAAACCTCACTTGAAAAAGGTACTTCAAAACAAGCATGAAGAAGAACATTAGTCGAGATTTGTGATCAGGTTCAATTTGAAACTTGCACTCCAACTTTAGGCAACTTTTCTATAAGAGCAACAGAAATCCACCCTGTCTGCTCATCTCACTCCAGTCAAAAAAGCACTACATGAAACAACTTAAATTTTTACACTTATCTAAACTGATTCCTTTGCTGTTCTTGGGTCATTTACTGAAATCATTTTCAAAACTTGAAGACAGCCAAAAGTTCTCCACCTCCAAAACCGTGCCATCTTCTCTGGAAGAGATCAACTCGGGTGATTCTTCACTTAGAGATAGTAGGAACTGCTGATGCTGAAATCTGAGATAACAAGGTGTGGAGCTGGATGAACACAGCAGGCCAGGCAGAGGAGCAGGAAAGCTGACATTTCAGGTCAGGACGCTCCTTCAGAAATGGGGGAGGGGAAGAGGGTTCTGAAGTAAATAGAGAGAGAGGGGGAGGCAGTGATATAAGGTAGACAGTGGAGCAGATAGGTGGAGAGAAGACTGATAGGTGAAGGAGGCGGGGCTGAAGCTCAAAAGGAGAGTGTAGTGGGGAGTTGGGATGGGGGTTGGTTATTGAGGGAGGGGTCCTTTCTCCTTACTGACCAACCCGCATTCCAACTCCCTATGTACACTCACCTTTACTAGCTTCATCCCCGTCTTCTCTCAACTGATCTGCTCGACTATCCACCTTCTATCACCGCCTCTCCCTCCCCCATTTCTGAAGAAGGATCCCGACCCGAAACATCAGCTTTCCTGCTCCTCTGATACTGCCTGGCCTGCTGTGTTCATCCAGCTCCACACCTTATCTGATTCTTCACTTAGCTGTGCTGGTTATTCATGTGGGCCTTGAGCAAGTCGCCAAGACAGTGGCAGGACACTTGTTCCATAAGAAGCTTCATCATGGCCAATGTTCATGGTCAGAGACTAAAACATGTACTAAGAAGCAAAATATCCAAAAGTGAAAAGGAGGTCCAGTTGGTTTTCAGAAATAATTACAACTGTAAAATTGTCCATTAGGTCACAAAGTTTGATTATGATCCTAAGGCTATCTGAAGTCACCACCTCCTCAACCACCACCCCTCCCAGGCAGATGGGGTTTATGAGAATCCAGGCTATCTGCAATTGCATCTTGCAAGTGTAGATAGATAAAAGGGTAGTAGCTTAAAGAGTAGAGAAGCCAAGAGACATGGCAAGATGAGAGAAGATTCAAACTGTTGTGATTATAATACATATAGCAACAGATAATTGTACGCTACGCTGCATTCATACATATCCACTAGGAATTTACCGGGAACATTCAAACTGTTTTATTTTCTGTATTACGAGATAACAAGGTGTAGAGCTGGATGAACACAGCAGGCCAAGCAGCATCAAAGGAGCAGGAAGGCTGACGTTTCAGGCCTAGACCCTTCTTCAGAAATGGGGGAGGGGAAGGGGATTCTGAAATATAGTCGGCAGGGGGGGCGGGGAGGCAGATAGAAGATGGATAGAGGAGAAGATAGGTGGAGAGGAGACAGACAGGTCAAAGAGGCGGGGTTGGAGCCAGTAAAGGGGAATGTAGGTGGGGAGGTAGGAGGAGATAGGTCAGTCCAGGGAGGACGGACAGGTCAAGGGGGCAGGATGAGGTTAGTAGGTAGGAGATGGGGGTGGGGCTTGAGGTGGGAGGAGGGACAGGTTAGGGAGGCAGGGACGAGCTGGGCTGGTTTTGGGATGCAGTAGGGGGAGGGGAGATTTTGAAGCTTGTGAAGTCCACATTGATACCATTGGGCTGCAGGGTTCCCAAGTGGATTGAGTTGCTGTTCCTGCAACCTTCGGGTAGCATCGGCGTGGCACTGCAGGAGGCCCAGGATGGACATGTCGTCTGAGGAACGGGAGGGGGGAGTTGAAATGGTTCGCAACTGGAGGTGCAGTTGTTTAGTGCGAACCAAGCGTAGGTGTTCCGCAAAGCGGTCCCCAAGCCTCCGCTTGGTTTCCCCGATGTACAGTAGGCCACAACGAGAACAGTGGATACTGTATACCACATTAGCAGATGTGCAGGTGAACATCTGATTGATGTGGAAAGTCTTCTTGGGGCCTGGGATGGGGGTGAGGGGGGAGGTGTAGGGGCAGGTGTAGCACTTCCTGCGGTTGCAGGGAAAAGAAATCTAGGATTGCGAAAAAGATCGCTGCACTTTTTATTAAAAAAAAGCAAATTACTTCACACTCAAGTGCTGTTTACATTGATGCTTGTTCAAAGGGACCAGGGTGGGTGGGGGTGTGTGGTTGTCGTAGTAGAGAGGAGATGTGGAAAAGGACTGCAAACAGGCTGGAGCCAGAGGCTCTGTACAGAGATTTAGCTGGCAACAACAGTAGCTGATTGATGGGGAGAATGGTGACCAGTTGTCAGTGATAAAAGGTGTTTTGCTTACAAAACAGCTATATGATTGCCTTTTAGCAGCTGAACAGCTTGTGGGCATGAGTGTTTTGTCAGAAGGCAGACCTAAAGGAAGGTGCTGTCCTTTACAGTTTAAAGAAAAAAAATTTAAAGAAAGCCAGTTTATTTCCCTGTCAGTTATCTTAGACCGTGGCTTTGCCTGACCTTTTAAAAAAAATCGGGAGTCTTTAGACCAAGTAAGAACTGCAGATGCTGGATAACAAGGTGTAGAGCAGGATGAACACAGCAGGAAAGCTGACGTTTCGGGCCTAGACCCTTCTTCAGAAATGGGGGACGGGAAGAGGGTTCTGAAATAAATAGGGAGAAAGGGGGAGGCAGATAGAAGATGGATAGAGGAGAAGATAGGTCAAAGAGGCAGGGATGGAGCCAGTAAAGGTGAGTGTAGGTGGGGAGTTAGGGAGGGGATAGGTCGGTCCAGGGAGGACGGACAGGTCAAGGGGGCGGGATGAGGCTCGTAGGTAGGAGATGGGGGTGGGGCTTGAGGTGGAAGCGGGGGATAGGTGGGAGACCACAAGCTGGGCTGGTTTTGGGATGCGGTAGGGGGAGGGGGGATTTTGAAGCTTATGAAGTCCACATTGATACCATTGGGCTGCAGGGTTCCCAAGCAGAATATGAGGTGCTTTTCCTGCAACCTTCGGGTGGCATCGTTGTGGCACTGCAGGAGGCCCAGGATGGACATGTCGTCTAAGGAATGGGAGGGGGAGTTGAAATGGTTCGCGACTGAGAGGTGTTTAGTGCGAATCGAGCTCATCCCTCACACCCACTCCCTGCAATAACAACCAAAACAGAATCCCCCTCGTCCTCACGTACCACCCCACCAACCTCCGGATCCAACACATCATCCTCCGACACTTCTGCCATCCGCAATCCGACCCCACCACCAAAGACATTTTTCCCTCCCCACCCTTATCTGCTTTCTGGAGGGACCACTCTCTCCAGGGCTCCCCTCCAGCCCCACCACACCCGGCACTTTTCCCTGCAACCGCAGGAAGTGCTACAACTGCCCCTACACCTCCCCCCCCTCACCCGCATCCCAGGCCCAAAGAAGACTTTCCATATCAAGCAGATGTTCACCTGCACATCTGCTATGTGGTATACTGTATCCGCTGTTCCCGTTGTGGCCTCCTCTACATTGGGGAAACCAAGCGGAGGCTTGGGGACCGCTTTGCAGAACACCTATGCTTGGTTCGCACTAAACAACTGCACCTCCCAGTCGCGAACCATTTCAACTCCCCCTCCCATTCCTTAGACAACATGTCCATCCTGGGCCTCCTGCAGTGCCACAACGATGCCACCTGAAGGTTGCAGGAACAGCACCTCATTCCACTTGGGAACCCTGCAGCCCAATGGCATCAATGTGGACTTGACAAGCTTCAAAATCTCCCCTCCCCTACTGCATCCCAAAACCAGCCCAGCTTGTCCCCGCCTCCCTAACCTGTCCTTCCTCCGACCTATCCCCTCTCCCACCTCAAGCCCCACCCACATTTCCTACCTACTAACCTCATCCCACCCCCTTGACCTGTCAGTCCTCCCTGGACCGACCTATCCCGTCCCTAACTCCCCACCTACACTCACCTTTACTGGCTCCATCCCCGCCTCTTTGACCCATCTGTTTCCTCTCCACCTATCCTCTCCTCTATCCATCTTCTATCTGACTCCCCCTCTCTATTTATTTCAGAACCCCCTTCCCCTCCCCCATTTCTGAAGGGTCCAGGTCTGAAATGTCAGCCTTCCTGCTCCTCTGATGCTGCTTGGCCTGCTGTGTTCATCCAGCTCTACACCTGGTTATCTCAGATTCTCCAGCATCGGCAGTTCCTACTATCTCTGCAGATGCTGGATATTGGGAACAAAATAAAAACACAAATTGTTGGAGAAACTCTAGATCTGGCAGCATCGGTGAAGAGAAAGCAGAAAATTGGAGTCAACATTTCAAGTCCCACAACCCTTATTGAAGACTGGAGGATCACTGGACTTGAAACATGAACTCTGCTTCCTCTCCACAGATGCAGACAGGTCTGCTCCATTTCTCCAGCTATTTGTTTTTATTTTCGACAGGGAAAAGCCTGCCCAGTTTTTCCATCCACCCATACTTTGTTTTGTCTGTCTGTAGTAGGGTGTAGGAGTTTTAACAAGAGAAAAAAAGTGTTAGAGTTTCGAATCTTTGACGTATGTCTTTTGGTCAAAAATTGTTTACCTGTGGATAGGATACTTTTGTAATAGACAAATAGTCACTTTGTTTCATCAAACTGGTCTGGAAAAGACAGTAAGCTGGGGAATTGTGTACTTTTATACAATCTTGAACTTTTTGTTGGTTTTGATTCCAACCTCAGGCGACTATGTATAGAGTTTGCACATTCCCCGTGTCTGCATGTGTTTCCTCCGGGTGCTCCGGTTTCCTCCCACAGTCTAAAAACGTGCAGACTAGGTGGATTGGCCATGCTAAATTGCCTGTAGTGTTCAGGGATGTATAGAGTAGGTGGGTTATAGGGAGAATGGGCCTGGGTGGGATGCTCCAAGGGTCGGTGTGGACTTGTTGGGCTGAAGGGCCTGTTTCCACACTGTAGGGATTCTATGATTCTGTGATGATTCTTATTACACAGCTAAAAGTTAAGCTTGATCCACAAGTTTTAAAAAAAAAGTGTTTTCTCCATATCTATCCAGATAACTCAAATATTGAAGGTTTCTTTCTGGAGAAGGAAAATCACAATTCTTTGTGTTTACTGGTATGTGTACTCAGGTACAGTGAAAAGTGTTGTCATGCATGCTTTATGGGCAGATCATACTATAAAAGTGCATCAGGGTATCAGGTCAGAATGCACGATCCAATGTTTCAGCTGCTGAGGGTGCAGAGGGATCAAAATTAAACAGGTCTATTCAAAACAACAGCAGGAAAGAAGCTGTTCATAACAGTCTGTCAGGATCATATTCTGGTGCTTATGTCCTTTATAAAAAAGGAAGGATGATGGAAACTAGAACTAGTCAGGCAACACTGCACAAATCCTTCACAAACAGCAACCCAACTTCCAAATTCCACATGCCCACATTAAATTCTCAGTAGTCACTTGTGGATTTGCTAGCATTTCTACTAATATTTTGTGGTCTACCTATACTTATTTCAGTAGACTCCATCTTTTGGATCTGTATCTCATTACTTTCTGGATCTTTGATCATACCATGTTTTATCACTCCATGCCAACTGTCACATGCAATTATTAATTCTCCCTTTGTAATTGTTTAGGTTATCTCCATTATATCCCAAGAAGGGGAGCCTTTGGAGGACTAGTAGTCAATTAATTCCAAAGAGAGAGTGCAAGGCGGGCCACAGTGGCAGCATTAAGTCTGGTTTCAATTTTTGTCTGTTCCAGAGCTGTCATGTGTGTCTGACCAGGTTGATTACAATAACTATGTGGCCATATTATATTAAAGAAAAACTGAATAGAGAGACAGAAAACAGGAACAAATAGTTTGGTCTCCAGAGTGGCAATAACAGCCTAACTGAATGAGAATAAACAAAGAAAGAGGTTAATTCCAATCAAAAAAGATGCATGGCTGACATTAGGAGAGAATCAGATTTGTTAGTGAAGGAGGTCATTCTGCCTACTGGTAATAGTTAATACAACTGTGAAGGTATAATTTCCTGCCTATTCCCCACGTACCTACACGCCTTTAGGTACAAATAATCATCCAATGACCTTCTGAACCTGTCACTTCCACACACTGAAATCCATACCATAACTAGTCATTGTGTGGCAATGTTTCCCCCACATCAACTCATGACATTTGATCATTACTTAATGAACAAGAGGATATGGATTGGATAAGTGGGAAGAGTTTCTCTCTCTCACCTACTCTTGCCAACCTGCTCATGACTTTGAAACCCTTTGTCAATGTCATGTCAGCCTTCTTCTCTCCAAAGAGTGCAGTCCCAACTTCTTCAATCCATCCTCACAACTGATGCTTCTCATTCCTAAAAGGAATGGTTCCAAGTCTCTCTCCAATGCATTCACATCTTTCCAATAATGTGTGGACCACAGCTATACATAATAGTCTAGCTAAGGTCTAACAAATATCTTGTACAAGTTCAATATCACCCCCTTTCTCCAGATATCCCAACTGAATAGGGAAGAGACAATTCTCAATAGGAAGCCCCAAAAATTTTGGGAACACTGCCTTCAAGGTTCAGAATTAGTAACAATTAGAAATTATTTCTGTAAAACTCATAACTCAGCAAAATAACCCTTCACCTTTGGAATGGTCCACATATAAGGCTGTTTGAAATATGTATTTCTACATGATTGAAAAAGTAATGATACTCTGGTCTACACAGCCAATTGCCATGCACCTGTACTACCACACCATATGACTTTAGGAGTGGAAGACTTGTACTTTTTTTCCTTTTGCCAATGAGTGGTCATATTTTTATGAAAAAGAGTCTCAAGTTATTAGTTTAAAAAAGAGACACTTCTTACCTGAAAGCCAAAAAGAAGGATAGCTGCAAATCCTACCCAGCTGTGTATAGAATACAAGTTGGGGATGTGCATCTTATTGTGGAACCCAAATGCTGCCACTAATCCAATAATGGCTAGAGACAATGCACCAAGGTTCAATGTAGCATGAACTAATTTTAGGATGAACTTGCTGCTGGACCAGGTGAAAGGAAATCTGTATACCAGAATAGCTGTAACAAACAAGAAAGAGGTAATATACATAGATTTACACAATGCGGAATCCATCAGGAAATCTATTTGTAAATTCAAACTTCACCCAAGTGGCAAAATACAGGCTGGGGTTTCCTCTTGAGATCACCAGCTTGCAATTTACTACTGAAGAGTTGGTGAATGCAGCAGAAAACTTGAACTATATGTGCAGTTGGTAGATGAACCTGCACTATCCCTCTTATACCCTTTAAACAGCTCAACCTGAAGGTGTCTGGGTGGACAAAACACTCAAGGTTCAACTCCATGCATCTCAGTATTATATTGACACTAATAGCTTAGCAAAAGCCACAACAACTTTGAAAACTCTGGAGTACATTTGTGTTTTTGTATGATAAATTCTGTCTATTGGTAATTTTACCAGTTGTCTCTAATCTGAAACAGATCACTTGTACAACAACTATCACTCAAAACCCATCCTGCTTTAGGATTGTGGCTTCTAGCATCTTGCAACAATCCCATAACGTGGGTTTGTGAATTGTCTTAATTTCTTCAAAAATGTTGTGACAGAGAAGCTTCACTCTGGAAAACAGTACATGGGATTTTAAGTTCCAGAAAACATGGGTACACAGACATCCTGAAACCCATATTTCACTAGCTTGGAGTAGTTGTTTACTGTCTGTGTAAACCAGGACTGTTTATACACAAACTGGGAAATAGGGCTGAAGAATGGCAATAATCCTGGGCGCTTTAAATAAGCATATAGGTTCTGTTAATCAAATGGACAAGGGTGGTCTTGAGGGAGAGTTCATTGAATGTATTAGATTGTTTCTTGGAGCAATACATTGTGGAACCAACCCAGGAGCAGCCTGTTCTGGATTTGGTATTGTGTAATGAAGAGGGATTAAATGAATCATCTCCGAGTAAAGGATTCTCATGGGAAAGGTGATCAAAGCATGTTTGAATTTGAAATTCTGTCTGGAGAGCAAGAAATTGGAGCCTCCCATTAGTGTTCTGAAGTAAAACAAAAAGAGTGTATTTACATAGACATGGGAACAGATTTAGCAGGAAGACTGAAAGACAGGAGAGTCAGTGAACAATGGCAGACATTTCAGGAGATATTCAATTCCCTCCAACTAAAATATATTCCAGAGATAAAGATTGATTTGGGGCAGTGGGTGGAAGGCATTGGAGAGCATCTACGGCTAAGCAAGAAAAAAGGTAATGTAAAAAGACAAACTATGGCATCTCATATTACCAAGGTCAGTGGCAGGCTAGAAATTTTAAAAATGGGAAACATTTTAAGTTACCTTTGCTCTTTTTAAGAGAAACACTAGCACAAAATATAAAAGTAGATAGCAAAAGCTTTTATAACTATATTAAAAAAGGGAACACAGTAGCTACAACTACAAAGTAGCCCTTGAAGGGCAAGACTGGGAGTAATTGTTAGGTCAGTGGCAGAGACATGAAAATGATTATTTTGCCTCAGTTTTCACAGCAAAAGACACAAGTACCATCCTAATATTGACGTTTAATGCAGAGGGTATAGTAAAAGAATGCAAGACCAAGTCTTAACAGAAGATTTGTACTTTTACTGTTCCTTGATTTAAAAAAACAGTATAAATGCTCACAAACCACATAATCCAACTTTGATTAACCCATATGGTCACTCTGGTTATTGCTACCATGGAAAAATGCATCTACAGCTGGTAGATTGGTAAGGGTGATGTCAAGTAGATTTGTAAAAACCTCACCGTTTCTTTCACCATCTGGTGAAAGGCCAGTCTAGCAGCTATGTAGATCGAGGCTCAGTTAGCAGTGGTGCTACTGAAAGACTTTGGATAGGGTCTTCAAGGCCCATTGCAAAGTACTTTCAAAGCATTTGCTATGTTCAGTGCTTCTCCCAAGCGGTGCTCAACATGGAAGAGCCCCAAACCATCAGTTGAGGGACTGTGTTTGGTCTGCTCTGCAAGAGGTTTCCTAGTCCATATTTAATCTGATGTATGGATTTTGTTGGATCCAGAATCAACTTTGACTCACAGGGCTGCACCCTGCTGATTGCACCAGGCAGCACCACTGGTAAGATGCAGCAACTTTAGACATTAAATGGAAGGCATGATTATTTCATATTACTTGACTGGTCCATAGGACAGCTCCCCTAACGTTGAGAAGCACCCAAGCATTATGAGGAGGATTTTGCAGCGTGACTGGGCAAAGTTTGCCTTTTTAAAAATCGGCTGCCTCATTGACGGCATTTGATTTCAACTTTCTTGCAGCCATTTAGTCTAACTAAGTATAGCTAAGTTGCATGGAAGGTGTAGAATAAAGCAATTTTCAGATGCTAAATTATGAACAAAAATCTCACTCAAAGTAATGTTTGAGAAGATAGCTAAATGTCATTAATGAGATAGTAAGAACTGCAGATGCTGGAGTCAGATAACAGTGTGGAGCTAGAGGAATACAGCAGGCCAGGCAGCATCAGAGGAGCAGGAAAGCTGACGTTTCGGGTCAGGACCCTTCTCCAGAAATGGGGGATCTCTGAAATAGAGAGGAGGGGTGGGGCTGGGGAAGGTAGGTGGGATAGTGATAGGCAGTGGTGGGGATTGGTCAGTGAGGTGGGGGGGGGGAAAGCAGATAGGTAGGAGAGAAGACAGGAAGGTTGCATCAGGTCAAGGAGGTGGGAATGAGGGGGAGAGTTGGTCATGGGATGAGGCTGGGAGTGTGGAGATTTTGAAACTGGTAATGTCCAAATTGAGACCATTGGGTTGTTGGCTCCCAAGGCAGATTGAAGGGGGCGGGAAGAGAAAGAGAGAGAGAGACAGACAGACAGACAGACCTGGAAGGTGGTGTTGTTGTTTGTCGCATGTTATTAATGCTGTGCAGCACCTACATTTTAAACAGGAAATGGTGGCTCTGGGGGCAAATATAAAAATCAACCAAGTCAATTGAAACAAAAACAAACAAACACACCACAATACAAAGAGGCATTCAAAGCTTACCATTTCCATAAAGGACAACAAGCCCAGTCACCATGCAGACAGGATGCCAATTAAACATCTTCACTGAGCCATCCCAGGCAAAGCCTCCCCTGTAGCCCTTACTCCAAGTAGTCACAATTATTATACAAGTTAGACCAAAGAGGAGAGACAAGGTGTAGACAAGATAAAACTCATGGCAGCTCTTCATTTTTGTCCTGCACAACAAAGAGGATTTTGAGAGAAGGTGGAAAATTGAACATTATGCCTCATGCCAAGGTAATCTCTCAAGGAAGAGTGGGGAGTGGGGAGTGGGGAGTGGGGAGTGGGGTTTGTGAAGGAGGAGAAGGGCAAGAAATTAGCATACATAAATTTGAAATCAGTTTTACAGAGCAATAATAATCCAAATGCTGCCTTCCTTAGTGTGACTTCATTTATTTAATCCCATACACAAGTTGAACATAGCAAGATTCTTCCATTTGGAAAGTGTACTAACACTTACTGAGATAAAGATAGCCAGTATATGGTGGACCCAAATGTCTATGGGGAGGGTGTAAACCTAGTCAACAGGTTTTGATATGGAAGATGGAGGTGTGGCAGAAGGAAAGATGCATAATATCCAAATGCAGAACATAGCACAGGAAAAGATTATAGTAGAATTAATATGCACATGGAAGAACCCCAAACAATCAGTTGAGGGACTGTGTTCAGTCACTCAGCAAGAGATTTCCTAGTCTGTGTTTAATCTGATGTATGGATTTTGTTGGGCCCAGAAATGAATTTGACTCACAGGGCTGCACCTTGCTGATTTACTTTTCTACTGGGAGGCACCAAAAACAGGTCTTTAAAAGTTGATGTGTTTCAGTGAGTGGGCTTTAAAGGATCTTCCTAGGAGGAGGTCTAGTGAAAAACATGCATCTCTCAATACAGAGATTAGGTAAGAGTACTAAATGCTACAGGACCAAAGGCAGGTAAATAGAATTAAAACATAGGTCAATGGTGAAACAGCCTCAAAAATGGGTTGAATGACATTTGATCATAATTTTCAACTCTAATCTGGGATGTGGGTCAATAATATTATTAAAAAGATGGTACCCAGCTAAAACCAACCAAACAATTAGACATTGTTGCAAATATCTGATCTATGGCAGAAGTGATTTAGTACAAAATTATTCCTAAAAATTAAAAGTTAACAGTCAAAGAGAAGCAGAAATGGAACTGAGGTCGAGTGGACTTCAGGTTAGGGATCATGTTGCTTTCAGATGTGAATTACATTTGTTAATTGAATCAGAGTAGAAGAGGCAGTTATAGAAACAGTACATGATTTACATAACTGGAGATGTGAGAGGGAGATGGTTTGCTTTGAGGTGTTAAAAAAGAACCAAATTCATTTAAAAGTATGCAGTTGTGAAACTCATCAGCTCAGCACAATGGGATCATCAAGTTGTGTGGTGCTCAGGAAAGCTTTTCTTTATAGCAGGTGTTTGCTTGGAGAAATTAGTTGCAGTTTGAAGCCAAGTGGCTTTTGGCAGCACTGGTGTTGCTATGAACTGCTTCTGTCTGAACTGCCTGGCATCTGTTTAATAGCAGCCCTGGATAATTCAGCACAGCAGAGATTGAGTGAAATAGACCCACATGCAGTATTTGTTTGTTAGAGCTCAGAACACCAGATGAACTGTCAAGTTTGTAAATCTTGTTGTTTGCAAGAGAGCTAAAATGGTGCCTTTGTACATGGAGTGCAGTCTCTGGAATCTAGTCTCAGGGAGGAGACTGAGCAACCAAAATTTGAGCAGTTGCAAAGGCAGGCCAAGTCAGAGGGGCTTTTGAGGAGATTTCTGAAACCAAATCTTCAAAATTTAAAAAAAAAATCCTCAAAAAGACACTGAATTTTGAATTGTGTCATGGTCCATAATACAACTAATTTTTTCTTGTTTGCAAAGGTTGAGTTGCAGAGGTATCCAAGGGACGTGTTTGAAAGTATTTACTATTCCATGTCTTCTGTATAGTGTTCAACTAATTTGTGGGTTTTTCCATTTACTTTTTAAAAATCCTAGAGTTTAAGAATACAAATAGCTTTTTAAAAAAAGTAGGTTACTTTGCTGTTCAATCTTTCTATTAGAGCTTTGTTTGCTCCTTTAAAAAAGGAAGCTTGTGGCTCAGTCATACTAGTATGTGCAATATAAAACTTGGTCTTCTTTAAATAAAGGAATGAAGTTATTGGTCCCTGGCCATACCACAGCACAAATCGAGCCAGGAACATAACATCAAATCTAACTCTGATTTGAAGTTGACTTCTATAAAGTCTATTTAGTTGGTCTATGCCCTTTTAGGCAAATTTTTAGAAAAAAAAATTGATGAAATTGTGCAAAAATACTTCAATTAGCTTACCCCAAGAGACATTCCCAAAGTTCTTTTAGAAAGCAAAAAAAAAGTGTGGAACAAGTTACTAAAGAACAATAGTGATTTATAAAAACAAGAAAGTTAAAAAAAAAAATTAAAACAACTGCCCAGATCTGCATGGAGAATTACATATTCAAGACTCTATCAAAACAGGACAAGCCAGAAAGCCTTTGAGTTAAAACGTTAACTTCTGATGGTGGAACAACTGCATCATTCTTAACTCCTGAAGCTACATAGTCAGAAGCATCACCACTTTTGTCAACCTGAAAGTAAACACCTGAAATTTTAATTGTAGGCAACACATGCAATTCTGCAAACAAATCACTAATTGACATTTTACAATTTCCTGTGCAGTAGTTGTTAGGCATCAATCATGGGATTTTCAAAAGAAAGGTATGAATCGCATTCAATGTATTAACATTTTGCGGTTAACACGCATTAGTAAAGCATAAATTAATGTCTAGCATGTGCAAGCCAACCACGATGTTGTCATCGTTTAAACGTTAGTGACATGTTTTGTTATAAAAACAATATCAGTTGAGAAGACTCTCGGAACCCTTCCCTAACGGTACAAAAAGCGGCATATTTAGCTTTAAAGTATGAAATGAATTGTTAAAATATTCAACTTGCTCATTAGAGCAACTTGGACCAATGATACTTGCGGAATTAAACGACAACCACGATCTTGAAATGTTTACACAAACTTCACCAACGACAGAGACCTGCGCAATTTCCAGACGTAAAAGGGATAAGACCGGCTTTGCCTAATAATACTAATACTCCTTAAAGTTACAATTTCTTACATTTACACCTTCACTGTCTACAATTACAGCACATCCTTAACAGCCCCTTTTAGCTAAAACCCCTGGGCACATTCTCCAATCGTCTGAGGTTCCGCATTTGGCGCGCGTGCGTACTAAGTGTTGCAGTATGGGTATTGCAGACTTTGATAACAAAGTGGACTACAATTCCCTCAATCCATGTCTTCCTGTTGAGGACGAATCTTGAAAGTGAAAGTTTTTAATTTATGATCCTGCTTCTTCGCATTTCGGTACTTGTGACAGGGAGGAAGATCTAAAAAGGTTTTCAGCCTTCTTCAGTGATACCATTCGTATGCCGTCAAACACAGCTATAAAGACCTAACTTGCATTTATGTGTTGATATTTTTGTGCAAAAAAAGCTTTGCAGTATAAATCCCTGTCAAACGGACTTTGAAGGAGAAGAAAGTAGGTTTTAACCAAGAATCCCAAAGTAAATTATCAGACAATGCGTGAGTGATTGTAATCAGGTCAGCCAGGTGAACCGCATTGAATGTGAGTTGGCTGATTGGGGCTCTGACGTAGCTGAATCAGTGCCAAGGATTCTCCACATATAAATGAAGGGTGACTTGGTGATGGGATAGTGGCTTCTGTAGAGTTATAGCAGTGGTGATGAGAGTGAAATTTGGGATGTTACCATGCAAAAGTGCCTACTAGCTGAAGCCAAACTGGACTTCAAACAGGCAGTACAACTGGCTTTATCATTGGAAAATGCAGCAAGTGGAATATATGAGTTGCGGCATATTCTGAAGGAAGTGGACACCCTTGCCAGTCTGACTGAGCTTGGAAACACTACTTGAGTGAAGACAATTGTGTAGCCTCACTCAGGACATATCCTGAACAGAGTGACTCTAGGTCAGCCCATGGCAAAACCTCAAAACAAAGCCAAGCCAAGCCAAAACAAGGCCAAACAGTGAAAATTTTCTTCAGGATCCGGGTCAGCAAGCCAAATAGTTGCTGCTGGTATGAGGACTCAAGACAGCAAAACAGTCCCACTAGACCTAAACCGAGTAAGAGAACTCATACTCCGATATACTGGAGAGTGCACACTGTGGAAAGTCCACCTGTATCTGGTTTGGAAGAGTAAGTTGCTTAGCAAAATCTAAATCAGAACCAATCAAAATAAATGTCTGGTTCTCATGAAGGTTAATACTTGTGCAGCTGTTTCAGTTGTCGCAGATCCAGTCTTTAAGAAAATCCTTAAGTTTATGCAAGACCTCAGCTGGACTGAGAACATATACTAGGGACTCTTTTCAGATTACAGGTACAGGTACAGCTTCAGTTCTGGTCTCTTATGAGAAGCAGCTGGTTCAGTTACTACTGATTGTAGTAAAAGACATGAGCCCATGCTTGATGGGGTGAAACTGGTTGAGAAAGATTCACCTAGATTGGCTCAACATTTTTCCATTAGAAAGTGCTGCCTGAGTGAAGTCTTAATTAAATACATGGAAGTTTTTCAGGAATGTCTAGGGACTAGTGAAGGAGCATCTTGCATATTGACCAGGAAGCAATTCCATGATTCTGCAAGGCCCGCCCAGTGCCATTTGCCTTATGGGCAAAAATAGAGGCAGAAATCAGAAGGCCGGAAAATGACAGAATCATCAAACCAGGTCAGTTCGCAGAATGGGCAGCACTGATCGTATTGATTGTGAAGCCTGATGGGTCAGTTCACCTTTGTGGGGATTGTGAACCAACAATAAATCACTTTTCACAGCTGAATAAATGGCCAGTCCCTCACACAGAGGATTTATATGCAAAGCTGGCATTGGGGCTGGCCTTCACGATGCTGGACATGAGCCATGCATACTTGCATTTGCGGTCAGATGAGGATTCCCAGAAGTATACTACAATTAATAGCCATAAGGGTTTGTGCCAAAATACAAGACTGCCATTTGGGATATTGTCAGCCTGTGCAATTTTTCAGTGGACAGTGGAGAACATTTTACAAGGTTTATCGCTGGTCATTGTGTGGAGTTTGCACATTCTCCCTGTGTCTGCATGGGTTTCCTCCGGTTTCCTCCCACAGTCCAAAGATGCGCAGGTTAGGCAGATTGGCTATGCTAAATTGCCCATAGTGTTTAGGGTAGGAAATGCAGGGATAGGGTTGGGTAGGTCTGGGTGGGATGCTCTTCAGAGGGGCGGTGTGGACTCAATGAGCCAAATGGCCTGCTTCTACACCATAGGGATTCTATGATAACACGCTAATAACAGGGAAGACCAATAAAGAACACTGAAAGAACTTGAACATAGTCCTTAGATGTTTCACTCAGATGGCAGTATGCCTTAGAAGGGGAAAATGTTTGTTCCAGGCACCCCAAGTGACCTGTTTGGGGTACAGTGTCGACAGGACCGGGTTACACCACTGGAAGATAAAGTGAGGGCAATAAAAGGTGCATTCTACCATGTCTGTACTAAACCCCAGGTCTTTCTTTGGGCTGGGGAACTATTACGGAAAATTCATACATAACTTGGCCTCCGTTTTGTCACCTTTGCATCAAGACTTAAAAAAGGGTCAGCCTTGGAAATGGTCGCATAGCCCAATCTGTAGCTTTCAGGGAAGTGAAGAAACAGTTATCATCCTCTAAGGTGTTGACACACTATCATCCCAAGCTAGATGTGCTTTTGACATGTGATACCTCCCTGTACGGCATTGGAATGTTATTAGCTCATAGGTGGCCCAATGGATAGGATCACCCAATAGCGTATGTATCCACGACTTTGGCTAATTTAGAACGTAAATATGCCCAGACAGAGAAGGAAGGTTTGGCAGTCATATTTGGAATCAGCACATTCCACCAATATCTTTATAGACGTAGATTAGTAATAATAATGGACGACAAACCCCTGCTAGGTGTACTTAAAGAGGACAAGGCGCTGCCACCTAGAGCTTCAGACCGAATTCAGCGGTGGTTTCTAATTTTAAGTGCATATAATTACAAGGTGGAACACCGTCCGGGAGGCCACGTAGCAAATACAGATGTACTGAGCTGCCTCCCGCTAGCAGATTCACCACCAGTGGTACTGCCACTGGAAAGACCATAATAGTTTTACATTTTCTGGACACACTTCCAGTCACAGCTGACAATATCAGATTTTGGACGCAGCAAGATCCAGTCCTGGCAAAACTAAGGCAGTGATAATGGGGCCATCACAACCTGAATTGAGATAGTAGGAACTGCAGATGCTGGAGAATCCGAGACAACAAGGTGCAGGGCTGGATGAACACAGCAGGCCAAGCAGCATCATAGGAGCAGAGAGGCTGACGTTTCGGGCCTAGACCCTTCATCAGAAAAGGGGGAGGGGAAGGGGGTTTTGAAATAAATAGGGAGAGAGTGGGAGGCGGATAGAAGATGGATAGAGGAGAGGATAGGTGGAGAGGAAACAAACAGGTCGAAGAGGCGGGGATGGGGCCAGGAAAGGTGAGTGTAGGTAGGGAGTTAGGAAGGGGATAGGTCAGTCCAGGGAGGACGGACAGGTCAAGGGGGCGGGATGAGGTTGGTCGGTAGGAGATGGAGGTGCGGCTTG